ATATTGATTGCTGACAAGCCTGTGACCAAGAGAAGGAAGCATGGGATGTGGGCGGCAAGCTCAGTCTTGCCCCCCTTAAGGGAGTCACTCTCGGGGGGAATGTCAAATACTCCAATGCCGAGACGACGGTCAAAGGCTCAACAACTTCTTTCACCAACAAGGGAAGCGAGGAAGACCAAATTCAGCGAACGTCGCGCGATACATACATTTGCGAAACAGGCCATTCTTGTCGAGTACAGCTATGGACATATGACGTAGCATTTAGGGCATCTGCACCTCTCGTTCCAATGGTGAACCCAAAGTGTGTTGTCGAATGGCAAATGACGGACCGGAGCCGCAACTCTCCGGGGAGATTTGACGAGAGGGTATTGGAGCAGCTTCGCAGACGAGGCGTCTGGTGGTACTACGGGCAGTCTGTTATTTGGGAGAGGAATGCAGACGGCGACAGGACCGACTTGCTACCTCCTGATGTAACTCCCACAAGGTCCTACCCCGGCAATTGGCGTGGCCTCGGCTTCGGTTGGAGCCCCGATGGAAACGGCGCAAACAGGGTTTACGGCAAGACTATCCAGACGTCTAGTCTTTACGGGAATATGGGTTGGTTGGACGAGGAGAATTCGAAATATTACAACGTCACGCGGAGGGATGGCTTGGCAGTAAAGCTGCCTGATGTACCGTTTCCAGTGGACGACAGTGCCCAGTATTGGATAAGCCAACGGGATTTTCCACCGCTAGAGTTTTTCAAATGGAACGGAAAGACATGGACTACCGAGTTTCCGCCGGAATGGTCAAAAAAGGTACCGGTAGGACCGCAAGATGAACGCGGTATGAAGCTACCGCGTTGGGAGTGGGCGGGCAGTGATGTTGGAAACTATGATGGTGTTTACAATGTCAACTTCTTGCGAAGCAAGGCGTGGGGCATGGACTTTACCGCACGCAATGCCGATGGGACCATCATGTCAACCATCGCACTTGTCAAGACGCCCTATGATACAAACGAGAAGCGGGAAGAACACGCAAGTTCAACGATTCGAATTCTCCAGGAGAATGTCAATCTGAATATTACTGACTATTCGTAGCAAGATGGACCTAGCAGCTTATCGAGGAAGACTACTAGGATCAAGCTGCTTTACCAAGGCAATTGATATGAGTATCTAATAATTCGACTGCGAGGGAACAGCCCCACTTTTAGGACCTAGATAGCTCGAGTCAGAGCTTCCTTTGGAAGCTCTTACTCTCCTTGTGAACAATCGCTTTATCCAAGTCGCACTCGGCCTCGCTCGTGCCCTTGTACCGTCACATACTACAAATAGAAGTATCATGTACTCCTCATTATATGTGAAAGAATCAGTCTCTGACCGCGGCGGTCAGACCGCCTGCAAAACAATTTACCTGCTGGACGTCACTGCCCTTTGTCCGCTTTTCCTGTCATGGCGAGAAAGAAACAATCCCGAACTTGTCCATCCAGGGAGATCACATTCTACCTTTCCAGTTAGCGAAGCCAAAGAGCGTGACTCGTCAGTTCTGATGTGATGTTGTCCTTCTTGACTCCTTTTTGGACACACTTGAGCGCATGGCAATCCACGCCAAAGAGCAGTATCGGCTCGACACAGGCTCTGACGGTGTCGCGCTTTTGCACGTTTATTAGCTATAGTCATTGAGAGGCGTTGTCCTACACGGTTGCCAAAACTTGTATATTCATTCATAACTGTGCTCCCCTTCGATGTTGCTTCCCCCCCTTCCTCCTTCCACCGAGA